ATGTTTCAATTAGAAGTCTCTTGGACGCGCATATACTTTCGCAAAAAGCAAATACAAATTTCTAAAAAAAAAATCACTCACTTAGAAAACTTAGGAGACTTGCATGCATATAATTTCATAAAAAGCAAATACAACTTTCTAAAAAAGAAGTCTCTAATTTAGAAATCACGTGGGCGCGCACATAATTTCGTAAAAAGCAAATACAATTTTTTAAAAAAGAAATCTCTGACTTAGAAGCCTCGTTGGCGCGCTTATAATTTCGTTAAAAGCAATTATAAATTTCTAATAAAGAAACTCTAGAAGACTCTCGGAGACTTGCTTATAATTTTGTGAAAAGCAAATACAAATTTTTTAAAAAGAAATCTCTCACTTAGAAGTCTCGAGGGCGCGCATATAATTTCGTAAAGAGCAAATATAAATTTCTAAAAAAGAAATCGCTCACTTAAAAGCCTCGGAGACTTGCACATAATTTCGTAAAAAGCAAATACAAATTTCTAAAAAAGAAATCACTCACTTAGAAAACTTAGGAGACTTGCATGCATATAATTTCATAAAAAACAAATACAACTTTCTAAAAAAGAAGTCTTTCACTTAAAAATCACGTGGGCGCGCATATAATTTCGTTAAAAGCAAATACAAATTTCTAGAAAAGAAATCTCTGACTTAAAAGCCTCGTTGGCGCGCATTCAATTTCGTAAAAAGCAAATTTCTAACAACCTTCGGTTGGCAGCAGTCGGGCGTAAAAAAGAAATCTGTCACATAGAAGGTCTCGAGGGCGCACATTAAAACCCACGATGTAATCTTTTTCACAATAAATGCAATTGTAGGTATAATTCCATTCATAACCGTTCTGTAATGTACAAATAAATATTATTAACAAATTTAAGTATGCCACTGCCAAAGTTTATTTCAGAAAAGGATATCTCTTAACGTTTAATTTGCAAAATCTCGCTTCGATATGTTTTTTCACAAGAATCTTGAAATGATAATCTTCTATTTTACACCAAAAAATTTTTGTAGAATCAGCTTTGTAGAATAAGAACATCTAAATTAGGATTTCAAGTCAGGATTGCACATCCATGTAATAAAACTTGTACAGGAACTTATTTGACATCCATATATATATAAACCTAAAAATAGAAATTGTAGCATAACTTTATTACACTGTGATTAACGCCTCACAATCTGAGACGACTGGAATAGATAATCTTGGCGATGGTAGGCGTTTGGTTTGTCAGAGCAATCAGCGACTAATCAGTGTTGCGAAAAAGAGTCACCAGACACTACACAAAGCGCTGATGTGATTACCACAACACTAAATAAATAATGA